GCCGCAATACGGAAATACAGAAAAATCTGGGTGGACGTTCACGTTACAAACTCATAGTGTCCTCAAAGTTCACAACGCCTACAATCATAGCTGCAGAAATTCAGGGGTGGACGTTCGCGTACAAGCTTAGACATGTCGTTAAAGTTCACAACGCCACAACACTGAGATACAGAAATTTCAGGGTGGACGTTCATGTTACAAACTCGTATTGTCCTTAAAGTTCACAACACCTCATTACAGTACATAGATTCGGAAATTGAAGGGTGGACGTTCGCGTTACAAACTTATAGTGTCCTTAAGGCTGCCTTAAGGTTCATAATGGTTCACAACGGTTACAATACAAAGACACAGAGCTTTCAGGGCGCACGTTTCACACTCGCGTCACAAACTTCAAATTATGTCCTTAAAGTTCACAGCGCCTTCAATACAAAGATACCGAAATATCAGGGTGGACGTTCGCGTTACAAACGTGTAGTGTAGTGTCCTGAGAGTTCACAACGCCACAATATGGGGGTAGGGTATAGACTTCAGTATTGAAGAAATGCTCTGCATTATTTCCACTACTAGTTGTTCGTCTTCTCCTACTACCGATTCTCTGTAGTTCTTCCCTTTACTACCACTAGAGGTATGGAGCACTGAAGACGTGCTCTGCTACAACAACAACAACTACTACTACTACTGCTGCTGCTGCTACTACTACTACTACTACTATTATACTACTACTACCATTACTCCTCCTCCTCCTCCTCCTACTACTACTACTACTACCACCACCACCACAATCCTCCAGGCTTTGGCAGTACTACTGCCAATCTACTAACAACTATTGCTCAGTACATGTACCCGCCGGGACCCACCAGATCTTATCAATGAAATGTTTCTTGCTGCCACAGTCCACAAGCATATAATATATATATATATTATATGCATGTATGTATATATATATGTATACAATATGTACACACACACATGAATATATATACACACACACACGAGACTGGGGTTTGGGGAGATACAGAAATTTCAGGGTGGACGTTCACGTTACAAACTCATAGTGTCCTTAGAGTTCACAACCCCTACAATACACAGATACAGAAATTGAAGGGTCGACGTTCGTGTTACAAACTTATAGTGTCCATAAGGCCGCCTTAAGGATCGCACGCCTACAGCACAAAGACACAGAAATTTCAGGGTGGACGTTCGCGTTACAAACGTGTCGTGTCCTCAACAAAGACAACACCTACAATACAAAGATACAGAAACAACCGGGTGGACGTTCGCGTTAAAAGAAAACTCATCGTGTCCCTAAAAATTCACAATGCCTGCAAGACGTAGATTCAGAAATGGAAGGGGGAACGTTCGCGTTACAAGCTTATAGTGTCCTTAAGGCCGCCGGCCGCCTTAAGGTTCACAACGCCAACAGTACAAACACACAGAAATTTCAGGGTGGACGTTCGCGTTACAAACCTGCGGTGTCCTCAAAGTTGACAAACCCTACAATACAAAGAGACAGAAAGTGAAGGGTGGAAGTTTGCGTTACAATACAAACTCATACGTGTCCTTAAAGTTCACAGCGCCTACAGTACAAAGACACAGAAATATCAGGGCGGGCGTTCGCGTTGCAAACGTGTAGTGTCCTTAAAGTTGACAGAAGCTGACAATACAAAGATATCGAAACAACGGGGTGGACATTCGCGTTACAAACTTATACACGTCCGTAAAGTCCACAACACCAGAATGCGAAGATATAGAAATTTCAGGGTGGACGTTCACGTTACAAACATGTGGCGTGTTTAAGTCGACAACGCCTACAATACACTTGTGGATCAGTGACTTGGACGAACGCTAGGGCAGAGCAGCAGTGGAGAAGCTGAGGCAGCCAAGGGGACTGCAGGCCCATCGATTCAAAATAGGTGGCCCACCTATTGAGGAAGCGTCCCCGACATCGAAAACACAACCCTTCTGCTGTGAAGATGGGCTTTGGGTGCATGTATTGGCTCTAGAGTTACCACAGTTATCCGTGCAGCAATTCAGAAAAGGTGCTAACAGGTGTTAGCAGCAGTGACCTTATTCTATACACTCTATACGATATACTACTGCACTGTACTATACTATTTATAATTTATTTCTGCCAATACACTGCATTATACTATATAGCAGGGGCTCAGGGCTCAGGGCATGCCTACCAGCTCGGCCCTGCGGCTACGGCTCGACAGGACTTGAGGGTTTTCGTGTAGTAGTATATAGTATATAGTATATAGTCAATAGAGTAGAGCAACCAAATCTATGTATTCCCGCAAGCCCTCCCACACACAAATCCCTGCCCTTTTTGTTCGATGTGGGGGACGCTTCCAGAATAGGTGGGCCACTTATTTTAAATCGGTGGGCCTGCATGTAACTCCCCCCCCACGCCCTATTATTAAAGGGGGGAAGGCACATCGTTGATGCTCGGCCGGGCCGGCGCGGCGAGCATCACGAGCATCATGGGCGCCCGGCCGGGCCCGGGAGGCCAGCATCATGAGCATCATTGGCGGCTCGTCTCTCCGTTCCAGGGCAAGCCGAAACGCTCCTTTTTCATGCCCGAAAAGGAGGGGTCGCCCACGCCGGGAAAATGCAGCTCCAGCTGCAGTCTTGCTTGGGAACCCGGCACCGTTTGACCTTTCCCCACACCCCTTGTTGCAACCTTCGGTTGATAAGAAACTCGGCTAGCCCCCGGAGGCTAGCTTTCGTGCTAGATACAGAAATTGAAGCGTGGACGTTCGCGTTACCAACTTTTAGTGCCCTGAAGACCGCTTTAAGGTCCAACGCATACAATACAAAGATACAGAAACAAGAGGGTGGACGTTCGCGTTACAAACTTATGCATGTTCTTAAAGCTCACAACACCACAATACCCAGACACTGAAATTTCAGGGTGGACGTTCGCGTTAAAAAAACTCATAGTGTCCATACATTTCACAACGCCTACAATACAAAGACACAGGAATTTCAGGGTGGACGTTCGCGTTACAAACGTGTAGTGTCCTTAAAGTTGACAGAAGCTGACAATACAAAGATATCGAAACAACAGGGTGGACGTTCACGTTACAAACTTATACATGTCCTTAAAGTTCACAACAGCACGATACCCAGATACGTTACAAAACTCATAGTGTCCATACATCTCACAACGCCTACAATACAAAGACACAGAAATATCAGGGCGGGCGTTCGCGTTACAAACGTGTAGTGTCCTTAAAGTTGACAGAAGCTGACAATACAAAGATATCGAAACAACAGGGCGGACGTTCGCGTTACAAACCTGTAGTGTCGTTAAAGTTGACAACGCCTACAATACAAAGATACAGAAACAACAGGGTGGACGATCGCGTTACAAACTTGTACATGTCCTTAAAGTTCACAACACCACAATACGCAGATGCTGAAATTTCAGGGTGGACGTTCACGTTACAAACTCATAGTGTCCTTACATTTCACAACGTCTACAACACAAAGTCACCGAAATATCAGGGTGGACGTTCGCGTTACAAACGTGTAGTGTCGTTAGAGTTGACAACGCCTACAATACAAAGATACAGAAACAACAGGGTGGACGTTCGCGTTACAAACTTATGCATGTCCTTAAAGTTCACAATGCCGCAGTACGGAGATACATAAATTTCAGGGTGGACGTTCACGTTACAAACTCATCGTGTCCTCAAAGTTCACAACTCCTACACTACATGTAGATATAGAAATACATTTAGATACAGAAACTGAAGGGTGGACATTTGCGCTACAAACTTATAGTGTCCTTAAGGCCGCCTTAAGGTTCACAACGCCCACAATACAAAGACACAGAAATTGAACGGTGAACGTTCACGTTACAAACTTAAAAGGTCCTTACAGCTCAAAGCGCCTACGGTACAAAGACACCGAAATATCAGGCTGGACGTTCGCGTTACAAACGTGTAGTGTCGCTAAAGTTGACAACGCCGACGATACAAAGATGCAGAAACAACAGGGTGGACGTTCGCGTTACAAACTTATACATGTCCTTAAAGTTCAAAACGCCACAATACGGAGATAAAGAAATTTCTGGGTGGACGTTCACATTCCAAACTCATCGTGTCTTCAAAGTTCACAATGCCTACAATACATGATTCTGGCATGTTTGGCTAGATGAAAGCAGAGCTCACAACTTTTACGTGATCATCGGAATGATGCGCTCTGCACAAAAGAAACTGCACAAGCCTGGTGTCTAACGCCGTTGAGGCGAAAGTAAAAGCAGGCAGATTCACAGACCCCCTTTTGAAGGGAGGAGCGGGTGGGCAGCTGAAAGACTTGAGAGGGAGTATTTCGGTACAGAAAATTAACATGCCGCCATCAAAACCCCACTTCGTAGGACTATGATTCTGGCATGTTTGGCTAGATGAAAGCAGAGCTCACAACTTTTACGTGATCATCGGAATGATGCGCTCTGCACAAAAGAAACTGCACAAGCCTGGTGTCTAACGCCGTTGAGGCGAAAGTAAAAGCAGGCAGATTCACAGACCCCCAAACCCCATATCGCATGGCACTAGGGCCGGGAGGGTGGGAGCTTCGCAGAAAGGCGGTGAGTAACCAAGCCACTGATTAAAGCCTGAGCAAACGGTCTAGGGTATACCTGTGCTTGTTTGGTCAGGAAAACACGACTGCTCAACCCGCTCAGTTGCAGATGCGGTCGGTTTGTGCGAGAGCACTTTCCTCGCCCAGCACATGTCCTCAGCGGGAACGGCATACAGTTCCATACAAGCAGATACGTTGGTTTTTCCATGGCACCCCATATTGACACAGATCAGTGCGAATGAGATGGACATGCCGAAGACGTAGAAGCCTTTTCATCTGAGGCGTTTTCCAAAGCAAACTTTTCTGTGGGTTTTCCAGATAACCAGGAATGTGCAACTTCAAACATCTGCGAATAATTCTGTATGCGCCGTAAAGCATCGTGTTTGCCTGTTGTACTTTGATGTTATCCCGACCGCAAAGATGAGGTAAACCGAAAAGACTTCGACCCTGAGCTCCGCGCAGTGGTTCAGGCAGTCCTGATCCTGGTTTCCCTCTCCTCGCACGGCTCCATGTGTTGCACGGCAAATCAATCCCTATCAAATCGAAGTGAGGAAGCTGATTTGAAATGTCATTCCATGCTGCATAATCGCTGAGGTCATTTTCTATGCTCGTCTCCAAGTCGATCACAGCGGCTGTGCCCCCTTGGTTTGCGAAAGCTCTAGCGCATTCACCAACTCCTCCAAAGAGGCTCAGCATGAGGGGGCTTTCAGCCCTCGAGGCAGGACCACTCCACCATTGTGGTAAAAGCTGGCGAAATTTGACCGGATGTTCTCCCCAAAGTCTCGGTATCGGCCCTCGTACATCGATGACATTTGTTGGAGCCTCCCCGGCTTGTCGTACACTCGGGCGGATGAGTCGCTGGCCCATCGACCCCTGCGGCGAATCTCTGGGATTGAACGAAGTCCTCTCAAATGATCTCGGCTCGCACCTCCATGTCGATTTTGATAGGGGCTTATCGCCAAACTCTCGATCCCCAATGTGGATACACACGTTCTCCACACAGTGAGGTAGTCCTTGGCGCTGAACGTCCACAAGCTCGCCTCCTCCCCATCTGCCTTTGTCCTCTGACGGGCCAGATGGTTCAGAAGTGCTGGAATGAAAGGGGCCCTCACATCGTCCAAGATGAGGACCTCGTCGAAAACCCCTGCCTTCGAGGATTCTCCCCTCTCCATGGGGCCCAAGACGATGATTGCATGCTCCTGCTCCCTTGTGGGCATCACCACGTCCATGGCTCCCACGCGGAGCATCTCTCCTGGGCGAGCGTAGGTCGAGAAAGTGACCTCGTTGTACAAAGCCATCTCCTTCTTTCCCATGACAAGCATCAAACCACTTACGGCGGACTTCAGGAACTCGAGCATTGGCATCCTCACCTGACTGGGCGCCAAACGCCTCCAACCTTTCAGAGACCGCCTGAAACGTGGCAGGTGCAAGGTGCCGGCGCGAGCGAACTCCGGCCGGGTGTACTCGATCGCCGCCATGAGCTTCTCCCCGTAGTTGCTCCCGTACCCGTCCAGGTACAGCAGGTCTGCGTACTCGCACAAGGCTGCGTCCAACTGTCCCTCGGTGGAGGTCGGGATCTCGTACTGGACGATGAAGCTGTAAAAACCGTCCAACTTCTGCAAGTAGTCGCGCCGCTGGGGCTCCTTTATGGAATGCATCTCCAGCAGCCCCTGTTCCCCGCGAGTGGCTCTCAGACGCATCTCGTACTTCCGCCTCCTCTGCACGGCTTTCTCCTTCCTCTTCTTGTGTGTGGCTACCAAGTCCTTCAGATTCAGCTTCGGGTGGCTGCGCATCTCCCTCATCGGCGAAGGTCTCAGCGATGATCCCGACCGTGGCGGGGTCGTGTTGCGACCCCCCTTCTGGAGTCGCTGGTTGGTCGCCCTGACCTCTTCTCTGGTGAGCACATCCACCTTTCGCTTTGCAGTCCCCGGTCGTGACATGGCATCGGGAAGGAAAACGAAAATCCGAAGAACCAAAAACTCCTGCTACCCGAGCTGGTTTGGTTTCCGGCTCCCATAGCCGGCTGTCCTTATCAGCCACATTCATCTCTGAGGGTATCCATCTTACATGCACTCGGGTCCCTGAGGCCAGAAGGTGTGCACTCACACGCCGTACCACACGGAGCAAGCCAAAGTCACAGCATCTGCCCTTCTGCATAGCCAACACAACCCCCATGTTATCATTTAGGATCACGTGCTTCTGGCCATGTGTGCGGCTGTCCCTGACGATATGCTTGACAGCGCCGAGAATGCTCCTAGCTTCAACCATATGCACGGGCTCCTGGTGCTGGATGGGTGTGCACCATGTTCTCGACCATCGACTGGCGTCCATGACCTCGGGCAATACATCGGGAAAAAGGGGTGACACCTCCACGGGTCGAGGCACTTCACCATCTACTTCTGGAAGGACTGTGAGAGGATCCGAGAACACTCCAGCGGTGTCAAGGGCCTGGCGCCTCGGTGCGTTTACGTAGCCCTCGCCCAGCCGGAAGCGCCACCTCTCATCGTTTCGGCCGATCTCTCTCACAGTCGCCTCCCCCTGCACGCTCGACATCACCGCATAACCACTCAAACAGGCGTCGGTGCAATACATGGTGGGGCCCCACTCTTGTTTGATGCTCCCTTGCCCCAGTGACATGAGGTGTCGAAACATGTAAAGCTCCTGCCTCACGCTCCCCCACAAAGCTGTGCGAACCTCATAGTTCTGCTCAATGAAGGCATAGCAGTGTCGCATGATCCCCATGAGACCCCGATGCAAGAGTGCACGAACTGTAATGTGCCCCACAATGACTTGCAGCTCCTTTCCGGATAACTTAACCCGACCATTGCAGGCACCTAAGGCTCGATCCAAGCGCCAATCCCTCTTGGGAGTGGGCCCCACAGTCCCGCTGAGGCCATCGATGCGAACCCCAAGGCTCTCGGCGAGGCTGCTTGGTGCCTCCACGTCATGTGTGGCAAGACCGCACTTGTGCAATATTTCCATGACTAAATCCTGGTCCGACTGCACTGCATCCCGGTCAATTCCCACATGATTGTTATTGTCAGCATAGATGAGCATAGCTGTCAACCCGTCTCCACCTGAAGATTGTAAACGAGGAGCCACCGAACGATCGCGCAAGAGCTTCACCTGCGGGAGAGCTTGGTTTGCCAGGTAAGTGTGGGCCTGGTGTGCCAGATGGAAAGCCCAGGAGAAACCCATAGGAAGCACTTGCCATGCAAGGGAATATTGGCGCCTCATGTGTGTCCAACAGCTCTGCTACTTCCTGCGGAATTGTGCCCATGATCTCCATCAAGACCTGCGGGTCAATCGCCGGCAAGCTGAAAAACTCACCTAATGCCAAAGGTATGCCCAGACGATAAAAGTAGTCTTTCACATCCTCTTGAGCAACAAACACGTCTGCATCCCGTGGCACCTCCAGGCGAGTCCATGTGTCCACAGACCCGAGCAATGTTGAGGGTGGTGTGCGAAAGAGTCTGTTTGTACGTCTTGCGTCAATGATAAGCCTCTGTTTGCCGTTTTTCTTTGTAACTGCGAAAGCTCCTATCTGTACTTTTGGGCTGCAAGTGAAATGAAGCAGGTTGCAGGCATACAGCTCGGCAATGAAGCGATGGTACTCCCTGACGTTGTGCTGCAACACAGGATCCAAGAAGCACTCATCGGAAAAACCCCGTTCGATCACTGCCGCCCTCTCCTCTGGAGAAAGAAGCATCTTTTCTTCAAAATCCTTCAGCCTCTCCGCATCTTCCTTGGGCAAGATTTGCCCCAGAGACACGGGCCTCTGCTGCCCCTTTGGTAAAGAAAGTCGATCCACCACGAGGCTTGCGAGACTTCCTGGGCTGTCTCCGTAACCAGCCCTTTTTGCCAGAAGCTGCCGAAGCGCTTCTTGTTCGGACATTCTTTCCACAGGTCGGGGCCGTTGCAAATGACACTGTACAATATGTCTTTGGCTTGCCGCCTGCGCCCTGTTCTTTGGAAAAATAGGCCAGCTCCGCTCATCTGGGAAACCAGCCAGCTGATTAAGGCAGCGCACTGATGCTCCAGCCCTTCGCAGCGCAAAATGTCGAAGTCCCACTCTCTGCTGAGCCCTCCTCGAACTCAGCGAAGCGTGATCCCCCTCATAGCTCTCTTCAACCGGCAAAGGCACAGGGAAAAGATCACCATGCCGTTCTTGAGCGCTATTGCAAAAATCCTTGGTGCTCGAAAAATTTTCCCAAGCCTGAGCTCCCGCACCCCTGGAGCCAGGCCCACCTGGAGGCTTAGGGGTTGGTGGGCGCCCCTGGGGCGCCTGGCTTGATCTTGGCCTTCGGCTTCGGCTTCTCGATTGCATCCCCATCCTCGTCGCCGGTAACCAGGCGCCGTCGATGCTTCTTCTCCTCGGAGGCCAGCCTCTGTTGCTTCAACACCTCGGCTTTCGATGCAGCCCTCCTCGCAGCGTGTTGCGTCAGGGCCGGGTCTATGATGGACCCGTCCGCGCTCTCGCGGACTCCTAAGAAGTCCTCAGCTCCTTCGTAGCTGGGCGCTTCCGGTCTGCCTTGATGCGCAAACTCAATTAAAGTGCGGCGCCTGTTTAGCGCCTCCGCGCTGGCCAAGGCCGCGAGATTCAATTGGTCGTATGATAGCATCCAGTTGAGGGCCCGGCATATACTCGCGTGCTCGTGCACCGAGCGGTCCGTTGTGCGCACACCGGACTTCTTAAGCCAAGCCTCGTGACGCAGCAGAAAGTCGAGCCCGGAACGGCGTAGTTGCCGAAGATCTCTGAACATCGTCCTTGGACCTTGTAAAGGAAAATCTTCAAACTCGACCTCTTCAATCTCGCCGATGGCCTCCTGGAGAGTGCGCCAGCGTTCATCACCAACATCGTAAAGAACAGGAAGAACTCGAACATCCCTGCTCGAGCTCCCGGAGCCTGTGGACTTCAAAAGCGCTCGCCCTGCCTCCACGCTTTCTCGTGCAAAGCGGCGAGCCAACACCACCCCCTGGCTAGCATCCTCGCTCAAGAAAAGTGCGTACTTCTCCCCGCCCACTGTAAGTACATCCACCCCGGCAGGAAGGACTAGCTCTTCTCCTGCGGCCGAGGGTTTGCTCGAAGAAAAAGCCAGAAGCCAAACGAAGCCCGAAGACTCATTGGGCTGCTCAGTGCGAGTTTCCGGCATCGGCGCGGCCTTCACCTTCGCCCTTTCACTAGGCAAAAAGTCAATGCCCTCGGGCCCAACTTTACCGGAGATCCGCACTCGTCGCCCTTCATCTCGCACACGCTTCTGTGCCACCAGGTGCAGCTGAAGAATCTCATCCGGGCTAAACTCGCCATCAGGACTATGTCTCGGAAGATAAGTCTCCCCCTCACGAACGCCACGAGGGAGCCGCCCAAGTTGCATCCGCCTCACCTCCGAGAACACCTCGCCTTCGACCAAGAGCACATCGTTTATGTCTCGATCTGGCGTGGCCACCAGGCAACGGTCCCCGCCTTGGCAAAGCAGCACAAGCCTATAGTGCAAAAGCGTCGGGTCATCCACGAAGCGAACGAGCACGGAGTCTTGCGGCAGCCACCTCGGCACTGGGTCGTTCATCGGGAGTGGCGTTTGGCAGAGCCTCGAGCTCCACTCCCACCTTGTCACTAGGCACAACCTTTCCTTGTAAGGGAGAGAAAGTCAGCAATGGCAACACGACTCTCCAGAAGAGAATGATGCAAAGGATGACCCCGACGACGAACCCAAGGAGGGCTCCCACAATTCCAACCAGGATGGGTTGGCACCCAGGCTCCTTCTCGGCCTGGGCTGCCCCAAGCTGGAGCAAGCAATTTTCTTTCTCCTTCTTGCAGCTACGCTCAGCAATTTTCAGGAAGTCAGACGAGGATTGCTTGCACCCGCCCCGTTGCTCGGCGAGCCACACAAAGAGCACGCGACTCAAGTCAACGGCAGCCGCCCGAATCAGGTGCCAATCCATCCGTAACTAAGCTTACCAGCTGAAAGACTTGAGAGGGAGTATTTCGGTACAGAAAATTAACATGCCGCCATCAAAACCCCACTTCGTAGGACTATACATACAGAAAATGAAGGGTGGACGTTCGCGTTACTGTCCTTTCAGATCACAACGACTACAATACAAAGATACAGACATTTCAGGGTGGACGTTCGCGATACAAATTTATAGTGTCCTTAAAGTTCACCATGCCTATGTTACAAAGATATAGGAATTTGAGGGTGGACCTTCGCGTACAATCTTGTAGTTTCCTCAAGGTTCACAACGCCTACAATCTAAAGATATTTTTGCTGGGTGCTTTTACGAGGCCGCACCCGGTCGCACCCACCATTTATTCTGGAGGCAAATGTGGGTGCGACCGGGCGCGATCTCCCTTTTACGATGGAGGGCAAGGGTGGGTGCGACCGGGCACGACCTCAGTCTTTACCCGGCCGCACCCATCATCTGTTCTGGAGAAAGCAAGGGTGGGTGCGACCGGGCGCAACGAGGTCGCACCCGGTCGCACCCATTATGTATTATGGAAGGCAAGGATGGGTTCGACCTGAGCCTTTTACCATGTCGCACCCGATCGCACCAATCAGTTGTTATATGGAAGTCAAGGGTGGGTGCGACCGGGCGCGACTTCGTTTTTAGCGAGGTCGCACCCAGAGCTTGGGAAAGCATTCCACAAAGTACATTTGTGCTCGAAGATTGCATTACTGCATTGTCGAGACCCCACCACTCGAAGAGCGTTCCACGTACTGCGTTTATACTTTTGGAGGTCCCACAGCTCCGGACCCTGTTGGATTGCATTCCGCGTGCTGCGTTTGTGCTCGAAAACAGCATGTTGAAGGCCCCACAGCTCCGCGGGCCCTTTCGGACATCATCCGCGTAGTACGTTTGTACTCGAAAATTATGAATTTGCGACACCCCATCACTCGAAGAGCGTTCTACGCACTGCATAGTTTATACTCCAAAACAGCATGTTGGAGGCCTTACAGCTCCAGACCCTTTTGGATTGGCGTACTACGGGTGGGTGCGAGCGGGCGCGACCTCGTTTGTTACGAGGTCGCAGCTGGTCGCACCCATCATTTGTCATGGAAGGCCAGGGTGAGTGCGACCGGGCGCGACCCCGTTTTTTTTCGAGGCCGCACCCGGTCGCAACCATCATTTGTTATGGACGGCAAGGGTCGCACCCGTCATTTGATCTTGTTAGGCAAGGTTGGGTGCAGCCGGGCGTGACCTCGTTTTTAAACAAACCGGGACACTGTGAGAGTGCGCTTCTTTCGTGTTTTACGCACTCCCAGGCTCCCTCTCCCGAATACACAATTACATCCGGCCCGCACTCCTGAATACACAACGC